GCGGAAAAGTGCCTCCACTAGAAGGGACACGAGTGAGCCCCTCTATGGAGTTTACTCGGACCATCTCACGGTGGTCGGGCATCCTGGAAGAGGTGAGAGTTCTCACACTTTACCCACCTCACACGTTGTGCCCATAAACCAACGGCGTACCATTTATACTGCTGTGTGAATAGTAGGCTTACTACTCATAAAATTGCTGGCGTGCGGTGACAATGGTAACGTGCATTCCGTTTGACTACAACGTGGCTTAAATGTTACGATTCAACATTTTAAAAAAAAAGTTTACAGTACACTATGGGAACCTCATTTGCCAGTAAAATATGATAATTGGTTTTTTACCCTTCTATCTGGCAACAAAACTGACACCTTTTTACAAGGAGTCATGTTTGCATAGACCGCAATACCTGCAGTCATAATACAAACAAAAGACATAACTCTGATAATGTGCACTGTCCTTGAAGTTAATTGGTCCACACCCGAGACAGCTTTCCTTAGAGCCTAGTCTCACATGGGTTGGACCAGATGACGCCAAAAGGCGCACATTAGCAGAGTTATGTCTTTTATTTGTATTATGACTGCAGGTATTGCGGTCTATGCAAATATGACTCCTTGTAAAAATGTGTCAGTTTTGTTGCCAGATAGAAGGGTAAAAAACCAATTTAATTTTCAAAGCTTACCGTGTAGAGAATATTTACCTGCAGATGTCATCCTGCGTTTTTCTGATGGATTTCAACACAGTGAAGACTTCCTGCATGTCCCCTCTGTGCATTTTAGTGTGGCATCTTGGCTCTGCGACAGCACGGTGTACAGAATAAGGCAACATGCAGCATTAATCACACAGCGTGACACAGCGTTGTAGATGACTATTACATGTGCAACAGTTCTTAAGAGACTCAAGCTGTCTCACTTCAGCTGAAGTGGACGTTCGTGAAATTCTGCTAACGCCACTGGACGGACATCTGTGAAAATACTGGACATCTGTGAAAACGCTTTATAGCTCATCGGATTCCTCCTGTCCAAATAAAGATTCTGATTGTGACTCCGAATACAAGAATTATGAATTGAAAATATTATGCCACTGAAATACATGTGGTTGGTGGTGATCATCTGGAGAAATAGCAATAATGACAATTGTTTAGCGAGGAAAGCCTCCCCGAGTCTTGCAGCTTTTTTTCTCCCCAAAGCATCCTGAACTGGGATATTTGGCCAGTACCATGAGGGGTGGTATGTGTGAGGAAAGTATGTGAGGAGTACAGGGACTCCTCTACTTACGAACGAGTTAGGTTCCAGAGGTCTGTTTGGAAGTCGATTTGTTCGAAGTCCTACTTTACTCATGTTGTACGGCATGTACAGTAAACACGGTGAATGGATTAAAATTTTTTATAATCTGTAGATGTAGATGCCACCACCGCCATCTATTGCGCGGCGGTTGAACTTACAACTCTCGGTCCGAACAGGCAAATGGACATACGGACAGGTTTGTTCATATCTCTAAACGTACGTAAGTCGAACGTTCGTAAGTAGAGGAGTTCCTGTACTCGACCATAGAAATCCCAAGCATACTCCAACACCGCCATCTTCTGGCCACACCAATCCCCACGCTTAGATGTACAACGCCTAAAAGCCCCACGGCTCCACACCAACGACGGTGCAGCTATACCACCGGTTTACGTCGGGGGATGCGTTCGTGAAAGGTGCCACGACGAATATCGCAATGACGTAAATCGAAGCGATTGACAGGGTAGGTGGTGGAGGCGAGGGCTGAGAGGCGACGCGTAGCGAGAAAGGACGGACGATGCTGTCGGCGACGTGTGTGCGGGTTGGAGGCGACGCAAATCGAGTCGCGGTGCTGATAATAAAGTGACGTCATATTTGCGAAACGGCGCAAAAGTGGGAGGCGTAAATCGGGGCATTGCTATATTTGTAGTCAATTAATGAATAGCATGGCACCTGCCAAGGAATGTGGAAGTATCACCACTGGTTGGGGGCCACCAACAGAGACGAGTGCATCCACCGTCGACCATTTGAACAGAGAGATCGTGTGTCTGTTGGTTGCCCAGAATGTGCCCAATCTCATGAGACCTCAGAAGCCAAGCAGGCTCGTGCCTGGATAAGTGCTGGGATGGGTGACCACCATGCAATAAACAGGCTAGCGTGGCTATGTGGTGGGCAGCAGAGGGCAGCGCTACAAAATGCATTCTTCTATTGTACAGGCGGTCACCGGTTTACGACGATCAAAATTTACGACGTAATGCCACCACGGATCGATTTATGACGCAGCAACTTGATTTACGACGCATACTCATGTGACTTGGGCTTGGAGCTTTAGTTTTTCTCAAAGTGTTTTTTGTGGATGTTTACCTATTAAACCCTCAAATATGGCTGATAAAAGGAAAAACACATCGGCAAGTGATGTTTACACCGTTTCTGCTGTCAACAGGAAAAATAGGAGTCCGATTTAGGACGATCTGAATTACGACAAGACGGGTTTCCGGGAACGCATTGTGTCGCAAAAGCAGGGACCTCCTATACCTTCCACGCACCCAACGTCTATGCTCTCCGCCCTTGACCACCTGCACCGACCAGCGCGGTGAAGCATGGTCAAATAAACCCTCACAATCCGTACGGCGTTGGAGGCCTCCAAGCGGTGGACTGACAAAGAGGGCCGTCCCATGTTTACATTTCTGCATCATCGCAATGGCGGTTCGCGTCGCACCGTCCATGTCGGAGGAGTCGCGGTGATCGAGGTCGGGTGTCGATGCCCGGCTCTCCTGGTCACGTCGCTCGCTCCTCTTCTCATCTTTGGACGATCTCTGCAGGCGATTGATTTTCGCCCATCACAGGGAAGACCCACGCGGCAATCCAACACGCTCGCCCTCCGGAAACGCTCAGGGCTCAGATTCACAGGCGGTCGGAGCAATAGTTCCCAAGACAAAGTCGCGACGAAGGTTTACCCTCAATCCCATCCTTTTATCAATATTTTTAACTAATCCACTCAAGAGTTATTCAACATTTAATTTGGGATATTCTCTGGTTCTTTTGGTAAAGTTACGTAGATAGAAAATAAAAAATACAATTTTAAAATCCTCTTTTCTCTACCGCCTGACGAAGACCGCTTGTGTTGCGATCGAAACGTCGTGGGTTTTTTGCTTTTATTTGTAATTTAACTATTTACGTAACTTTACCGAAAAAAACAAAGAATATGAATTCCTGCAGTCACGAAAGTTAGGTAAAAATTTCATTTGGGAATTTCAGCTTCTCAGTAACTCACTCTATGCTGCATATAGTTCCGTATTTTTCTCTTATCGGCCATCTTGCAATACAATTTGTTCAACCAGAAGTGCCCATTTATGCAAACAACTCAGTCAATTTGCAATCCACACCGTTAAGCTATAATGGAATTATTGAAGAAAATATTACATTTTCCTTCAGATTCCACAACCCTCATAAAGCACCGTGAGGCCTACATGAAGAGTTTTGACACAGGGTTGTAATTTATTATCACAGGCAGTGTTATTATCATCAGTAACATGCGAGCGATCCCTGCAATTTAGATCTTACTTGGTTAGACTCCACATGCAACATAATTGCATCTCTCTAAAACTGATAAACCATTCCCTCATCAGTTTTTCATAATGGGTAATATATTAAGTGGTTTTGTTTGACCAAACTTCACCGTGATGGTCAGTGCTGGTAGGTGAAGGGATAGGGTGGCAGGGGTTATTTCTGACCCGGCGGCACTGGTTCAGACATCACTCACCCACTGATGTTAGCCGTGGCCGGGAATCAAACTCAGATAATCAGGTTCATAGTGCAGTGCACAAGCGAATGTGGGAGACTGCGTGTCAGCTGGACAGGCAATGTCAAAGAATGGACCAAGCAGGGAAAAATGCAGATCGAAACTCAGGAGGAAGAATGATTGATGTGCCCCAACGATGGCAAGATTGATGTTAGCCACGTCCAGGAATTTAACACAGGTAGCCAGGTTCGTTGGGCACTGCGTGAGCCACTGTGCCACCGCTGCCCTCCTACCCGATAAAAACACATGTGAAGGTGCAACCCTGCAATTCCTGTTCAGCCCCCACTGCTGGCCAAAGGGCCTCTACTCGGGTGAGCTCCGAGAGAGAGCTGCTATGAAGCTTTTGGCCGACTCATTCACGCTGACCCAGGACGACTTTGAAAGAGACGGGGAGTCGCGAGCACCCTGCGCTTTATCCCACCGCCCATCGACAAACCGCCGGCGCGCCCGTTTAAACGGCCGCCCTTTACGGGGGGAGGGGGGGGGTTCAGGGGGTGCGGATGCGCCATGCGCACTCACCCGGCGGCGCTGCAGGAAGGAGCGGCGGCGCTCGGACTGAGCCCCAGGGCGCTGGCGCAGCGCGCCACGCTCGAGTCGTGCCGCACGTGGGTCCGGATCACGCCGTCCTGCTCGTACTGCGCGATGTCGTTGAGAGGGTCCCACGGGCGGAGGCTGCAACCGGCGGGGGCGGGGGGGGGTGAAACGGTGAAAATGGCTTCGGCGAGGCGCCCGAAAGGCAGCTGCGGATGCCTGTGACGTTTGCTATGTGCCCTTGTCGATGCGTTTTCGGGATGTACGCCGCATGTTCGGCACAATGTCATGTTGTGTTCGTATGTTTATGAGAGGCGCGGTGGCGGGATGTTAACTACCTCGCCTGGTATGCAGGAGGTGCTGGGTTCAATGTCGACTCTGACGTCTGTATATTTGGAGTTTGCGTGTTCTCCCCGTGGGTCATCCGGGTTTTCCCTCCACATTTAGAAACACGCGTTTAGAGTATTTGGCTGCGATTAATTTCCACATGATAAGCCACTTCGTTGAACTATCATTTGTGGCCAGGTTTCTTCGGAAAAAGAGATTTATCACTCATTGGGCCTTACCTGGTAAAATTAAATAGTTTCATGGTTTACTTTTTATATATATTTTTAGGTCCAACGTTTTGCTCCGTGGGCTGGGTGCTACTGCAGGAACTGTATTCAGTTCCCTGAAGAAAGAACGTCAAATCTATCCAGCACAATCGCGAAAACCTACACGATGGTAAAATCGTGTATAAGTCAATGGACGTGTCTGCTTTGCCACCATCATAAAATAAACACTTGGGCCCATCAACCAAATAGGCCTGCAAACGCTCGTCCATGGAACGGTTTCCAAATTAAGCCCCCAACAGCCGCAGGGTTCTCAGATCGCCTTTTGCTGAATAACGCCCAGGATAGCCGGCACTGCTCGTTTAACCGGCCACATGTCAGACCGGCACCAACTCTGTGAACCTCCCCCCCCCACCCCCCGTGTGAACCTACAACCACGTCGGAAAGAGCCACACGGTGCAACGGCAGAAACCTGGCCATGAAGCGATCCATGTTTAAGTCGAGTGGGGGGGGGGAGGGCACTTACTCTGCGTATTTGTACTGCCACTCTCCCACGAGGGGCTCCAACTCGAAGAGGCACGGCGTCCACTCCTCCTGCTGCTCAGCGCGCTCACGAGCCCCCTCCCTCTGGGCCTCCTCCAGCAGGAACTTCTGCTGCGTCGCCTCGTGCTGATCCCGCTGTGAGATCGCCGTCGTGACGTGTTGCCACAGCCTGGCTTGTGCGTGTGTGTGTACGTGTGTGCGTGCGTTTGTTTTGTGTGAGGAGGAGGAGGGGGGGAGCGGTGGAGCAGTCGTTAGCGCACTGCGCCGACATCCCGTAGCACGCATTCAATTGTAGAGCCACAGCGCGGACAACCGGTGGAACATTTGCGTCTGAAGTTGCCGCATCTGCGGTCGAGTAATTCGCATCTACGGTTGAGGAACAAGTTATAGACAGCCCCGTTGTATGCATGTACGTTAAACTTCTTTCGCACCGTACATTGCCATCCGTGCTAATCGGCGGTGCGGGGGAAGGACAACAAACGAAATCCACTGATGGATGAAGGCCTACAACCCCGGCCTGCAGGTCATGGGGGTTATTTGACCACTCAACCATGCCGGTCATTGCGGATGGGTAAAGGTGGGAGCATCAAGTAGAGTACAACAATGGCTTTAATTTTCGATTTAAAGCTTTCGTGACTGCAGGGATCCATCTTCTTGGTTCTTTCGGTAAAGTCACGTAGAAGGGAAGCAATAAAATAATAAAAATAAAACATGCTTGCGTTGTGGCCGAAACGTCGTGAGAATTATTTTATTTTATTATGTTTTATTTTTATTATTTTATTGCTTCCCTTCTACGTGACTTTACCGAAAGAACCAAGAAGAACAATGGCTTTGTCTTCACTGCCCTCTACGTACTGCCCACTATGGACACTTGCAGCAGCCTATAACAATAGGCAAAGCAATATCTTCGATGTCTGAATTCATACATGGCGTATGTAAACATGTATCTAAAAAAAAACACTTGTTATTAACACTGCCTTACCACGGAAAAAATAGATAAATTATCAGCCAACATGTCAGCAATGGTCACAATTCAGTTAGAGACGGATAGATTCAGAGTTTTCGGTTGGGCTCTTTGTCCTGAAAACGTAATGACAACAGAAGTGAGTTCACAGCCAATATAGCAATGCTGCAACCCGGTGAGAAGTCTTCGAAATCAGAATCTTTATTTATCCTGGATAAATCCGATGATCTACGAAGCTCTTGTTCACAGATGTCCAGCAGGGGCACGGGCTCAGAAAGTAACAGCAACAAACGACAGCAACAAACGATCGGAGTGCAAAGTATAGGCGAGGAAAGCAACCCACTGAAAATAAAATACTGGAAATGGATAAAGTATTGCATTAGTATTTCATTAGTACACCAATAATTCTTCCTTTTGCACCGCGTCACTCACTTCTCCGACTCGTAGTCGCCCTGCTCCTCCAGGTGCACCAGGTGCCTCGTCAGCCTGCGTGCCCTGACCTCGGCGTCCGGATTCCAGAACTCCTCCGAGGCTCCCGTCTTGTGGTCCTGGATGAACACCTCTCGGTCCTGCAATGCAGTGGCAGCGCTCGCTTACGGAATGGGCCAACCCAAGCCAAAGCGTCAGGGGCGCGACGCTGGCTAGGAGATGTTAGCTACCTCGCCTGGTATATAGGAGGCCGTGGGTTCGATCCTGACCCTGTATGCCTGTATACAGGCAATCCTCGGTTTCCGTGCTTTTTTGGCACGCCGTTTTGGAATAACGCGGTGCTTTGTATTTAGACCTTTTATTGACATACGAGAGGCAATTTTCGGAATAATGTCACCCGCAATGTGACATACACGCCACGCCCAGCCTGGCACCACCACCCAATGGCGTTGCCAGCAGCCAGTGCGGTACGGTAACTTGTGTGAAGGGATCATTAAGAACACAGGTGGCCGGATGTCTAACATACGGAGGGGCACAGGTGATGAAGGGATATAATTAATGAGAGGGTACTCAAGCAAGAAAACACAGGTGGTGAAGAGTTAAGGACGAGTATTATATTGTGTGTACGCGTATTGTATTGCTATAGGCGAGGATGATTTAGGCAATTATGTCTGCGAGTGTGAGTGAAATCCCCTAACCCCCTCCTTTGCCATTATTTCTTATGGGAAAATTGCTTTTGACATTCGCAATTTTGAGATATGCGCGTTTTTCCAGGAACGCATCTATCGCGTGTGTCAACGAGTACCTGTATTGTGGAGGAGGCTCGTGAAGGACACTACTGGGCAGTTGGAGGGAGGCGGTTGCCCTCCAACAATAACGGAGGGCGGAGGAGCGACGCTCACAACAATGAGTGGAGCGCCGGGTGGCTAAAGCACAGCAAGTTGGCACAGTAGGGGGCACAGGTGGTGCATCAACCAGTCATCTCGGTCATCTCAGTCAGTCGACCAGTGGCACCTGGGTCTGCCCCGTGACCTCCTGCCAGCGGGGGCGTTCCGACACTTCACGTGGCCTCAAGGTGCACATGGCCTGGTACAAGCGTCGTGGTGACATCACCGCCACTTAGTGGCGAATGGCGGTTATTGTTGTATTTGGAGTTGCGTGTCTTTCTCCCCATGGTCGCGTGGATTGTTTCCGGATCATCCGGTGTTCCCCTCCACATTTAGAATCAACATGCGTTTAGTATTGGGCTGATATAAATTTCCACACGGTAAGCCACTTCATCCAGCTGTCATTTGTGGCCAGGTCGCTTCTGAAAAAATACCTATATAGCTCAATCGGCCTTACCTAGTAAAATGTTTTAAATAGTTTTTTTAGTTTATAATGAGCATTCACGTCGCAATTGCGTGTGAAGGGAGAAAATCGCGGACTCAAAAACACCACCATTGTTGTCCAGAATGTTTCCCCGGTGTCTCTGCGCCCCCCGGAGTCGGAATGATGATGTGTTTACCCAGTGGCCTTCCAGGGTGCAGAAGACTTCCTTTCCGAGTTGGATTTTTCCAGAAATCTGATTCACGCAGTCATTTCCACCAAGCAGGGGCTGGCGGATAGTGGTGGGGGGGAGAGTACAGAGTCATCATGTTGCATTATTGAGCCTTTGACATTTATCAAGTTACACAGGGTCATTCGTTTATAGATGCTCCACTCAAATAACAGGGAGAAATAATGAGAGAAACGCCATTCAAAGCCTCCACAATGCCGTCTAAATATTCAAATTCCCCCACGAGAGAAACAGAAGAGTCGCCGCTTACGATGAATAGTAAAAGAAGACAAATGTACGGACGATAATAAAACAGGAAGAAATCACACAGGGATTCTTCTACTTACGAACGAGTTAGGTTCCAGAGGTCTGTTCCTAAGTCGATTTGTCCGTAAGTCCAACTTTACTCCTGTCGATTCCAAACATGTTGTTCGGCGTGTAAACTAAACACGAGGAATGGCTTTAAAAGTTGAATAATCTCCTGTAGATGTAGATGCGACTGATTCTTCATGTTCTGCAGATGTAGATGCCACCACCGCCATCAATTGCGTGGCGGTTGAACTTACGACTCTCGGTCCGAACAGGCAACTGGACATACGGACAGGTTTGTTCGTATCTCTGAACGTACGTAAGTCGAATGTTCGTAAGTAAAGGAGTCCCCGTGTGTGCTATATATCAATACACTCGTGACATGTTTTTAACGCTCCTCTAAGACACAGGACGATCGCTTTCACAATACCCCAATCAACGGTTGAGAGGTCAAGAGGGTCACCAGAGGTCAGTGGGGCATCTATAAATGGATCGCCCTCTATACAGTACAATGAGCGTGCATAGCAATCGCAAGAAATTGAGCAAGCGCTATAGTTTCTTCTGAAGGTGGGATTGTTTTCAGATCATTTGTTTTTATTAAACTCACCTTTGTTTCTTGTCGCTTGCATTATGTAGGACCCCCCCATTAAATATGTATCACGCTTATGAATAATACAGCAGCTGTGCCTTTAGTGAATAGGGAAATAAAACGTGAATTACCATTGCACACAGACGAGCTTTTCATTCGTAATCTCATTGGACACTTCAGGGAGGAAGCGGTGGAGCATTTAACCCTTCCGATAACTGTTTCCCTTTTCGATGACGTATGTGTACGTAATAGTTTTTTTATGGTTCCGATGACGTACCGAGGCTCCCACAAGGCCATGCGGGAGAGCGCGTGGCACAGCTTGGCGCCAGCTATCTTAGAGTGCGGCCGTGTCGCTCCAGTTCTCTGCGTCGCTACAGTCTTCTGCGGTGAGTTCAATGTCTTTTAAAAGGAACGGCGCTACGCCTCTCTAAGTAAAATTAGCGCCGAATCGCTTGCGCGTTCCGAGATTCAGCGGCGAACGGGACACCCCACCCTGCAACTTGCAGTTGTCTCTAAATGGGAAAGGGTTAACAGCGCGCTTGTGCCCTACGAACTCTGCGACCTCGGTTCAAGTCCCGGCCACGACTGCCATCAGTGGCGAGTGATATCCGAACCGGTCGTACCCCTTCACCAACCCACACCACGACGGGCTTGGTGAAGTATGGCCAAACAGCCCCCATGGCCGACACGTCATGTGGTGGGAGGCCTTGATCCAGTCGTGGATTGACCAAAGGACTGTTCAATTGTAATCGCCGCAATAGGAGGTGGATGTAGGCACACCTTATATTAGCACAATTCTGATATAAAGCGACGCATTGTTACATTGCACAGGTGAGGTGGAAGGCAAAGGGCTTCTCCTGCTATAAGTACACTTCGGATCCAGCGTCTATCCTCATGCACTATGCAATTGTTTTTGTAAAGAACGACACGGTGTATTGCTATGCATTTAGAAGCATGCATGTGTTAATGCAACAGCTTTAGGAATTGATGTGTGCTGGCTTTAGCATTTACCCTGAGCTTGAACTCAATGCTGGCGCTGTAGCCGGTCTTCTGGCACTCAATTCCAATCTTTCCACCAAGCTCCAGTGTCATGGTCCCATACAGAATGCCTGCAAAGGGTGGGGGGGAGGGGTGGCGGGTGATGGAGCTCAGCTGTGACGATGAGTTAAGCCGATTAATTGACGAATAATTGTAGTGGACAACTGTTGCTGTGATCGATTACTCGCGCCCCTTTGAAAACTTAGCCGCCCTGATGTCCCTTACAAACCACAAACGGCGTGACGTAAACCGATGATGCCTGTGACGTCACCAATCCACGCCCATCACCTCCCGTCCAGCGGCACACGCGGGAACAGAGGTGAGACTTTTTTTCTGCACCCCCCCCACCCCAACCTCCGGCCCCCTCCCCCAACAATTAGTTTGTATCCGATTATCCGAGTAATAATCGGCAAACATAAATCGTAGAACCCAGCTCTAGCGAAAGGGGATTCGACTCCCCGCTCGGCGTGAGCGCGTTGGTCTTGCGAGGAGCGAGGGCCCCGGCCGGCGGCGGCACCTTTGCAGTGGGCGTAAGGCATGGTGATGACGTACTCCTCCCCTCGCTCCAGCAAGCTCAGGCGGACCGTGCCGTCGAGGATCGCCGACAGCGAGTTTCCTGGGAGGGTTCGAAAGGTCGGAGAGACGCAGAGCGAGCGACCGGGCAGCGATCGTCTCCCGTTTTGCAGCCCCGAGCGAAGTAAAGGGAAATTACACATTTCTAGGCCAATAGCGAGTATGTCCATCGGACATTGGCTGTTGATTTTTTGTGTAGCTTTTTTTTTCGGTATTTTTAAAATCCTCAATTTATTCCAATATTATGTCGTTAGGAGAATTAACAAATCGGTCAAAGCAGTGCACCACTATGTTGTCAGATATTATCTGCGGAATAGATTTTTCACAGGACCTCTCTCATGAGATCTGTGAAGTGATTTTACCAATATATTAATCTTGATTTGAAACTTTCGTGACTGCAGGAATCCATACTCTTTGGTTCATTTGGTAAAGTCACGTAGGTAGAAAAAATAATAGATCACGACGTTTCGATCGCAACACAAGCAACCATATTCTTGGTTCTTTCCGTAAAGTCACGTAGAAGGGAAATAATAAAATAATATAATAATATATAATAATATTAACATAATATAAATATTATTTTATTATTTCCCTTCTACGTGACTTTACCGAAAGAACCAAGAATATGAATCCCTGCAGTCACGAAAGCTTTAAATAAAAAAACACAAGCAACCGTCGTCAGGTGAAAAAGACTCATTTTGCGATCGAAGACTCTATTTCACCTGAAGATGGCTGCTTGTGTTGCGATCGAAACGTCGCGATCTACTATTTTTTCTACCTACGTGACTTTACCGAAAGAACCAAAGAGTATTACAAATATATATTTTACATCATAGGGGTGTACACTTTCCCACACACACTCTGCTGTGAAATTGTCCCGTGACAGTCAAGACCGACAAAATCTTAACATTCTCGGAGCTGGAAGAAGTTGGGCACACTTTTTTCATAGTCGCAGCAGTCACGCCGTTTGTAAAACGTTGCGTCGACGAGTGCTCGTTGCGGCAGACTCTGCCGGCCGCGTTGGCGCTGCGTTGTCACGCAACCGAACGTCGAGGGGAGAGCCCTTACCGTAGAACTTTGATCGGGCGAACACGGTGGCGCTGATACAGAAGCCATCCTTCCGGTTGCTGACGTATATTGCCGAGACGGGAGGATGATGAGACACCTAGAAGGCAATGGAGACGGTTGTGGTTGTGGGTGTGTGTGTGTGCGAGCGGTCGCGTAGCGATTAGCGCGCTGAGCTACGAACCCGGTGACCTGAGTTCGATTCCCGCTCACGGCCAACATAACTGATTAATTTCTGAACCGGTCCTGGGCCTCCTTTAGGTTGACTCAGCCTTTCGTGAGTGCCTGGTGTGGTGTGTAAGCATCAGCACTGGGGAGACAAAGGCGGCCGAGCACGGTGTTGGCCACCCACCCCCTTGTGTGCCGTGCCGGCCTTCATAGTTTCTCGCTAACGGCATTTGTCATTACAGTTTTGTTTGGGCTACGTTGCTAATACCCAAGGCGCGATCATTGAAACCAGTGTTCCTTCTAATAGAGAGCCCTCACCCACGTCAAAATTGTGCGGAGTCCTTGGAAAAATAGTTGGCAACCCGCACGTGTTTATTTTCTAAAGCGAAACCCACGGCAGCTTCATTGGAAGTCATCCACTCTTGGTTGCCTTTTGTTGCGTTGTCTCCCCGCAGATAGCCACAGTTCAGTTCAGATCATTGATTATGTATAGCCCTGTGAGCCATTCGGCTCTTGGCTCAGGTGCAACCGCAACAAACAAAACATGAACAAGCAACATCTTAAAACACGGCGGAACCAATACCTCTGCCGTGGCTGACCATTGCTATAACGCTGTGGGCTCGCATGATATTGTTTTTTTCCGAGATCAAGGTACTCTGGAAACCTTCGGGCTACTATCAAAGGTTTGTTTATGAAGCCATCCAGATATATAACATAGACATAACTTCAACCGAGAAGATGGATACAAATTGAGCAATCATTGGAAGGATGTTATTAACCAGGTAAAACCTTAACTGTTTATGGTTGTTAAATCATATCTGCTGGGTACTAGTCTATTTTTCCGAGTTAATTTCCCCCCGCATCCCCAGCGTTTGGCATTGTGTTGCATTAGCGTTGTTGCTGCATTGGCATTGTTGCTGCATTGGCATTGTTGCTACATTGGCATTGTTGCTGCATTGGCATTGTTGCTGCATTGGCATTGCTGCTGCATTGGCGTTGTTGCTGCATTGGCATTGTTGCTGCATTGACATTGTTGCTGCATTGGCATTGTTGCTGCATTGTCATTGTTGCTGCATTGGCATTGTTGCTGCATTGGCATTGTTGCTGCATTGGCATTGTTGCTGCATTGGCATTGTTGCTGCATTGGCATTGTTGCTGCATTGGCATTGTTGATTCATTGGCATTGTTGCTGCATTGGCATTGTTGCTGCATTGGCGTTGTTGCTGCATTGGCGTTGTTGATGCATTGGCATTGTTGCTTCATTGGCATTGTTGCTTCATTGGCATTGTTGCTGCATTGGCATTGTTGCTTCATTGGCATTGCTGCTGCATTGGCGTTGCTGCTGCATTGGCGTTGTTGCTGCATTGGCGTTGTTGCTGCATTGGCGTTGTTGATGCATTGGCATTGTTGCTTCATTGGCATTGTTGCTTCATTGGCATTGTTGCTGCATTGGCATTGTTGCTTCATTGGCATTGTTGCTGCATTGGCATTGTTGCTGCATTGGCATTGTTGCTGCATTGGCACTCGTGCACCGCCCGTGTTTCCGAGTTAACTCTCCCCCCCGCATCCCCCCCATCCCCCAGCTCTCTCGGCCTTTCACTTCCAGCCCCGCCCACTCCCCCCCGTCCAGCTTCACGTCCCTCTCCTAGCGTCCACTCAGCGCTCCCCTCCCCTACCCCCCCTCTCTCTCCCCCCTTGCCCCTCCCCCCTCTCTTACCTATATAACCTCTTACCACAGCATCTCTCTCCCACTTCAGCAAAAAAAAAATTCTTGCTGTGGTTTTCCCACCTGATGATGATTGCTTGTGTTGCAATGGGAACGTCGTGATTTGTTTTTATTTTATTTCAAACTACGTGACCTTACCGGAAGAGCCAAAGAGTGGAGTATCTTAAAGTGACTAGGCGCAACAGAAAAATCCAGAGGGAGCATGACAATTCACCGTCTCCATCCGCGCAATCAAAAGCCGGCTAAATTCGTGCATTGTCAACTCTTCTCAAGGACACCCTCCCCATTATACATCCCAATGCCGTTCATCGCACGCGCATTGGACGTACACCCTGGGGGTGAGCGGAGGTAGGCACGTGAGTCGTGCAGGCACTGGCCCCGTTTTGGATGGAGGAGATCAATTACAGCATTTATATGAAATATAAAAAATTAACCCGTAAAAACAAAGTTTTTCACTATAAATCCTTTATATGCGTGGCGGCTAGAGTCCTCTCGTCCTCTGGCTTGAGATGGCTGCCACCTATGGGTCAGATGATTGCCTGCCACCATTAAGCAATTGGTAATTAAATAAATAAAAATTCCTAACAAGTGTAAAATTTGGGAAAAAATTTTCACGAAAATAAATTGTCAGGCACAACGAGTCTGTGTGCAAAATGTCAGCTCGATTGGATCACGGAAAGTGGGTTAAAAAACGACCGAAAGATTTGCACAGTCGTAAGCGCGCAAGCAAGCAAGCAAGTGAACTTAATATGAAGGATTTAAAAACAACTCGACACATTCGTCAAAGACACTGTGGCCTTAAAAAGAAAAACAGCATTTCAAAGGCGGCATTTCGGGCAATATCACTTCTTCACAGCACGTACGTTCAGACAGGCAGAGTGTATTAGGACAGCATTACAGTTTTGAGACGGTGATATCTATGTGTGTTTATCACTGTTAAGTTTAAAATAACAATCAGCAAGGATGTGTTGATCATGCAATACTGAAATAACATTTTGGTCACTAAGCCAGTACCCATTCGAGTTAACATTGGTCCAATGGAGACTCATAGGCTGGTAGACCAAAACATGTTATTTAATTAATATTTAATTACCCACAATCCACCATGACAGGACATTATACAAATTTTGCGATTAGTTATATGGGTTAGCTATTCATAGGTCATAAGCACTCTTGTGATTATATAATGATTAAAGTGAGGATCAATAGAGTTTAAATGATTAAGTGCGAATTTCCGCTCGCACTAACTGCTTATTATTTACCGTGTCCATGATCAAACACGGACACTAGACAAAATATTATTATTCAGAGGGAACAACAGCTGTTAAATATGCATGGGGGAGATGCAGGTTTGGAATTGCAGAGACAGAGCAACACATGGATCAGGGAACAAAACACAACTCACAGACATATTTAGTGTGGAGCTGACTTAAAACTACGCTAAAACCAGGTAAGGCCCGCTGCGCTATATATAGATCTTCAGAAGCGACCTGGCCACAAATGATAGGCCAACGAAGTGGCTTATCACATGGAAATGTATTGCAGGCAAATACTCTAAATGTATGTTTCTAAATGTAGAGGGAAAACCGGAGAACCCGGCGAAAAATCCACGCGACCACGGGGAGAAAATGCAAACTCCAAATATAGGTGTCGGGAACGGGATCGAACCAACAGCCTCCTGTATACCAGGTGAGGTAGTTAACACCTCGCAACCTCGGAGCCTTATAGAAGGCACGCTGGCCAATTGATGCAAATTGCGGCCAAAGGAGAGAACATGCGCACAAGGGGGTGACCGTCAAAGTGATGAGGTTACGAGACCAGCTGATGTGAAGTGAGATGTAACGTGGCATCAGGCGACGATGAAGGATGGTGACGTCGTGAGGAGGCACTCGTCCATAAGTGGATAAACAATGATACCTGTTCAGCGATGTAGTAGGTCTTGCTGTCGGTAGAAGGATGTACCACATGCATCGGAAAGTTTCTCCAAGAATTGGGTTGTAAGGCTTCTTTGGTCCCTTTAAAATAGAGGAAACACCACAATTCAGCATTCCCTTGGTGCGGACTCCGCACAGCAGGGTGACATGTTGATGGACTGCAGCTTTATCGAGCACAACAGTGTTTGCGGCAGCCTAATATGAGTCTGTCTCATTAGGGTGACTTAGTGTGAGTGTGGTAGAGCAATTCTCGGAGCAGTCAGGACAACAATTGACTGCTTGTGGTGTATATATATATCTCAATTATCGATTTATATGTAAAAAAAATATGAATGTTTTTGTTCGGTAGTTAATATTACGTAATTTTGTTCAAGCGAATAAGTTCAATATGGTAACTTTTTTCTTCCTAATTGTGTCATAAGGTTCCCATTGTGTTTTGTTTACAGATTTAAATTGCTCTTTTGCAGTATACATATTTTGGCAGATGTCTCCCTTGAAATAAGGATCTTCCGGTTTAAATTGGCTCTTAGTGACATGAGCGTGCACTATACTAAATGTAATCTCTGTATCCCATTGTCTAATTTTACATCTTACGGAGAGACAGGAGCGCTGCTATTAAAATGTGGAATTCACATTACTGACTTGGGAACTATTCAAAAAGATGACCATAGCTGCTGTTTTTCGTCTGAAGTATACACGCATGCCGTCTTGAATCGCGCTTGCAACACTTGTTTTTTTTGTTTATACATCTGATCGAAAATACAACTTTTGGTGATAGATTTCGCTTCGACATGCGCCGCAACATTTTCATGGTGGGCCTTTTCTCGAGTACCTGTGGTTTTTTGTAGAAGCCGGAGAGATACCACTGTACCACCTGTTTCATGCGGCCGTAGGCATTCTCCTCCAATGCCGCTCTGGTGAAACAAAACAACCCGCACCGCTGTAAACGTCTAAACTAAATCTCGCAAAGCCACGGAGGCCGCATCCCCATGGCAACGAGTGAGCGAGCTGGCTCGGTACTCGTACCGAGCTGGATCCAATATCCAGTAAACATGCAACATCGAGCCACCATTGGCATGTGTATTCTTGGTTCTTTCGGTAAAGTCACGTAAAAGGGAAATAAAATAATATTAATAATATATCTCACAAATTTTGAGAATTTTTATTGTTTTATATTATAAAAATTCTCACAAATTTTGAGAATTTTATTGTTTTATATTATCTTATTTCCCATCTACGTGACTTTACCGAAAGAACCAAGAATATGAATCCCTGCAGTCACGAAAGCTTTAAATCAAAATTCATTGGCATGTGGTTGAAGCCGATGTACCAACATTGGCTAAACGTTCCATGTTTACTGGGCAGTTCCCTTTCAAGGGCAGTTATCCCAGGCTAAACGAATCCAAAGCTTGCAGCCATGACCACCCCACCCCCAAAAGGCAGGGTTAGAGATCTGAGCTGCAATTTATCTTTAAAAGTGACGCCGATTGCATTCAGCCCGGTTGCCAACCTGCGTTGCGCACAAACGTCGCCATCGGTGTCCGGTCATCCATTATCGATGTGGCCTTTACCAAGTGATGCCCAGCTACTGAAGGTCTTTGGTCATTGATCGCTCTGCTTGCTCGTGGCTGCATCCACAGCCCCCTCTACTTTGGCTTCTTACGCAGGTCACAGGCTATGGGAGTGGCCTTAATGAGATAAAATTTGAGATGCCACCTGCATCCTTTGTTTTTCAATTGCCAAGCCAAGCTCGTGCAACCCGATCCCATGCTTAGGGTTCTGTACACGTGTCGTGATTCGCAGCATTGTTACATGCCTGGCAGAGTGGGAGTTGTTGTGCGGGGATGGGTGGGACATAGGGGAGGGGGTGATCCCATGGCGTACCATGCTTCATGGAGCACAGGGATATGGATCTGTATGAATATATGTACGTTGAACTTCTATCGCACCATACATAGTCAACCGTGCTAATCGGGGGATCTGGACCCTGCTGCTGTTTCTGCGGCCAGAGCTGGGATGTTCCTGGGCTGGCAGAGCCTGGTTCCCAGGAATCTTGTACCCCTTTTCCACTGGCACATCCAAGCCATGCCAGGGCTGTATGAAGCTAGGCCGTCGCGGGTCAGGAGGAGCAGGTTGCTTTTCCCACAGCAGAAGCCAAGCCATGCCACGCTGGCATCACACGTGATGCGTGACGTCATATCGACGACACGGCGACACCGTGTCCTCACAGTGTACTGACTGACGTCACATGCAATGATTGCGTCATTAGTCCCGCCCCTTGGCCCTGATTGGTCCCGAGGTCGATTCAAATGTTTTTTTGTCAGGCCAGCGTATATCGAAGTTTGGTTCTGGCTTGGCATGCCTAATAGCCAGTGGAAAATCACCCTTCCTTACCGCGAGGGCCCTTCGCCAGCGCGGCTCGGATGTGCCGGTGGAAAAGGGACAATCTGATCTTTCTTTTGTGCGGCTGATGTAGATGCAGAGCAACGACTACAATTTCACACCCAGGTGGTCAAGCCAGATAGCCGCGTCAGGAGCAGTGGAGAGTGTTTCGCTGTGGATGATGGCAGCCTTCACGCGGCCCACTCTGTTCAGTGAGAAATCACGACGAACGGCGCCAATGCGACGACCGAACGTCGACCGTCGATCTCCCGGTCTCCGGAGCAACGACACGGCACAAAGGGACAACGAAAGGGACGGTGCAGGACTTCCGCGAGCATTTGGTGTATGCGCGCAAGGGATTGGCCGGGTCGTCGAGTCGGGCGGCTCACTGCGAGAGCAGGTCGGCGTGGTAGTAGTAGTCGGAGAGCTTGTCCAGAAAAGACCTCGGCTCCAGCACGAAGGTGGGCAACACCACGCGCGACAGGTCCATGCCTGGCCGCAGCTGCTTGATGAGACCCCAGATGAGACCCTTGTGCTCCTCCGACACCTCCTCCATCTGCGACAGTTCCCCCACCTGCGCGGGACCGCAAAGCATTTGCCGCGTCGTCACGGACCGAGAATTGACCACTGGGCATCATCATCGTCATTATTCGGTGATGCTGCTGCTGCTGCGTTGGCAGTGGTGCGCGAGCACAAATTCTGCACACCTCCGATTGGCAGGGTTGGCTACGTGCGGTGCGCAAAAAGTTCAACATGCATACATGCAGATAACAAGGCGCTCGTCAATCACACTGTGGCCTTAAAAAAGTAACAAAAATACATAATTAGCAACGTTTTGAGAAGTGGCCATTCTTCGTAGCGCAATGCGAGAAGAGGAGGCAACGGCAAGTATTATTACGCCACTGACAGAAAACTGAATATTTTAGTGTCCTGTGAAGACTCACAGATTTCCCAAGACAGCCACCTCAACAAGAGCACAATTATCGGGGGGGGGGGGGGGCGGGGGGGGAAGAGGAAAAAAACACCAGGAGAGATGGTGCCGCCATCTCTGGAGGCTCACCTGGCCCAGCTCTTCGTCGGTCTGCTGGCAGTACGTGGTCTCCTTGAGCCGCCCGGTGCCCCTGATGCTGTCATCGGCTCTCTCCGACGTGTCCGAGTCGCTGTCTTCGCTGTGCGCGCCCTCGTCCCCGTCGCTGTCCGACCTGTCGGACACCCCCTCCGCGTCCGTGAGGTGCGTCTGCGTCGCCTCGCTCTCATGTGTCCTGGCCAAGCCCAGTACAGGGGAGGGAGGGCAGGCGAGGCGGGAGGATGGGGGGGGGGGGGAGGGCATTGCCGGGGTTGGCGCGACACGGTGACTTGGGACGATGAAGCCCTCGTAACGAGCGGCAGTCGCACGACCGCTCGGCCACGTCGCCATTCCCGTAGTTGTCAGAATCCCACGGCAGCTGATAGTGTATCATGGCACGGTTGGCTACTTACGGTGCGAGAGAAGTTCAACGTGCATACATCTGCAGTGGTGTTCCACTCGAGCCGGGCTATTAAGTCATCGATTACTGTACCGACTGTTAACTTCCTGCATGTGCCGCTGGACGGGAGATGGTGAGACGGGGGGCTTGGTGACGTCGTCGTCGTCGTCAATGGCCGTGCCACACCGCGTGTGGCCTGTAGTGGGCTTACTGCCTTTGGCAGGCAAGATGTGGGGACTGTCACCATTTTAAAACGGGCCCGAGTAATAGCGTCGCGGTTAGTTCATCGCGGTATGAAACTGTTGATCTAAGTTCGATCCCTCGCCACGGCCAACATCGTTGGTGAGCGATATCTGAGCCAGTGCTGCACCCTCGTTGAGCAACCTGCACGAATCGGCGTGCTTGAATACGTCACAGTCAAACAACCCCCGTGAGCGACGACACAGTGTGGGGTGGGACTTGAACTTCTTTCGCACCGCACGTAGCCAACTGTGCTCATCGTAGGTGGCCTTCATACAGCAGTAGATTAACCGTAAAGTTATTTTCTGTTAATCTGTGGACAGTTTGCAAACCGCGGTAATCGCACAATGACTGTGAATGCAAATAGAGCGGAGAGAATGGATCAACGGATGTTGCGGTCGGATGTGCTTTCCCAGCTGTCTGGAACGCTCTTCCTTCCGATATTAGGAAGCCACTGGAGCTATTCACTTTTAAATCATCAAGATTGATACCTCATTTCTTTAGAACTGCTCTTTGTGTTTAGCTTGCTGCCCTTCCCCCGGACCTCCGATTAGCACGGTTGGCTATGTACGGTGCGAAAGAAGGTCAACATACACACAGCAGAATTATTTGCTACCTTGAATGGCTACTGAAGGCAGACTCGATATCAAAATGGGGAAATAAAAGAGGCAGACTAGCGCAGGTTGGAGTGCTTCTGGAAAGCTGAAGCTGATAGTGAAAAGTAACGTACCCATTGTACCCGGGGGGAAAATGTATTAATCACTGCCTGCTATGACGTATCATTTAGAAACACGGTCATTAGCAAAAAAAAAACGGAACAAAAACACGAATTGTGCAAAGAAGCATGGAGAGAGGCACGTTTGGAATTACATTAGTTTGCGTTTAGTTTGTTGTCCTTCCCCCGCACCTCCGATTAGCACGGTTGGCTACGTACGGCGCGAAACATATGGTGCATACATACGGCATGCCGCGCCATGCCGCGTCTCAAAAGTGGGGGTCGTACTGCGAGCCGTCGTGCAGAGTCCCAGTGCGGAGCAGCCCCAGCAGGGTGCCGTCGGCCTGTACGACCTTCTCCACGTCCTTGCCTTCCCGCGCCATCGTGCGCTTGAGCAGACTGGAGCAGCGCAGCGCCAGCTCCAGCGCGTCCATCCAGCAGCGGCCTACAAGCGGACGAGCGGGAAAGACAGACGGGCGGTGAGCCGATGCCAATTTCCCCCGCCACACCCTCCACCTCGCCCAAGCTCTGCAGTCCTCTACATATTGAGGTGTTATCTGCCAATTAATGAGATTATACATTTTGATTTAAAGCTTTCGTGACTGCAGGGATTCATATTCTTGGTTCTTTCGGTAAAGTCAGGTAGAAGGGAAACAATAAAAGAATAAAAATTGCAACACAAAATTTGATTTTTTTTTTCAAATTTTCTTGCTGTGGATTTCACACCTGATGGTGATTGCTTGTGTTGCAGTCGAAATTTCGTGAGAATTTGTATTGTTTAATATTTTATCATTTTATTATTTCCCTTCCACTTGACTTTACCGAAAGAACCAAGAAGATGAGATTCTACATGTCGGAAGAAACCGGAGCACCCGGAGTAATGTTACGTCTTGTACAGATGGAACAGGTGGGAAGTAAAGTTCAAGCTTTGCTGGAATGCCTTCTCCTGGCGAGCCCAGGCATGGTACCCGCACGGCGCACGCGGGGAATGGATTTTCACAACGATTGTGCGGTGATCCAGCAACTGACACCTGCCTCCACATTGCTGGATTACGGGCCGCGTTCGTAGCCACCGCTGGCCGTGACCAACCGCCATAGAGCAGCGGGTGTGGTGGGGGGCGGCGAGGGTGGCCAACCACTCAGAATATGTATTTACACTGGAGGAATTAGATGAGCTCAAGAGCTCTTTTTTCACCGATGTCCCGACATGTGTCGATATAGTCCAAGGGCCAGAGTAGAAATTGGGACGGCCTAAGGTAGCAAAACTCCAGTACAGGTACCGCAATGGCTAATAATAGTGGATTGATATTCTTAGGTTTTTTCGGTAAAGTCACGTAGGTAAAAAATTAAAATGGAAATTAATAAAAGTAAAAATAATAATAAAATAAATTTATTTTATTTTACTTTTATTAATTTAATTTTTTACCTACGTGACTTTACCGAAAAAACCTAAGAATATGAATCCTTGCAGTAACGAAAGCTTAAATCTAGAATAGTGGATTGCTTGATAACACACGCATTTCAAATGGTTATCACAGTCCACTGCCAGAAAAGAAATTGGAACCACGAATGTGATGCCATCTTGAGGTGGAATCGAAAAGTTAATATCTTGTCTGGGCTCGTGGACTAAAAGTGGCTAAGAGACACCCACAAGGTTTTGAACGGGAATCGTGTTATTCTTAATGCTGCACCTTTCACATTTCAACAAAGTGACATAAAAGCTGATTACGCTGACGGTCGAACCTTTAAATACACAGCGGCCGAAGAACAGCAGGCTCAGTACTTAGTCAGTCAGGAGCGAGTAGTTGGGGAAATTTTAAAAAATGGTGCTTCAGCAGAACTCCGACGTGTGGCAAATCGCCACTGGGAATTATTTTCTGCTATGACAGCCTCAACTTTCACATTGTGGATGTGCCCCTGGACAGCTGGTCCAGAGGTCAAACGCTGAGCCGGTATTGTTGAGAACCTGAGTTTGAGTTTGGGTTTCAGATACCCCTTGTTAAATTGAGTTGTCAAGTGTAGTGAGAGTCAATAATCTTTGTCTGGTCCGCAATGACCGAGTAGAAAATAAAAAACAAAAAAACCCACCCATCCCATTTCATTTGGGTTGTCACTAAATTTGCCTAAATTCCATATCTTGAGAATTAAGACTATCAATTTGATTGTTGTGGGATGAAGATCTCTCTGTGGCGGGACGTGTGTGTGAGAATGCAGCCCGAGTGTGTGGGGTTAACCAAATCGCTTGAAAGGGCCGCGGAAGAAGTTACGTGGAAATCTGCTTCCTTGGATTGTTCTGTAGCAGATGGGGTGAAGGGCTGCTGTGCGAAAGCTTCACGTAATTAATTTTTCTCATCTTCTTGGTTCTTTCAGTAAAGTCACGAATGACGCTGTCGCCTCGACAGACCTGGTTTTCACCTGAGGATGGCTGCTTGCGTTGTGGCCAAAACGTCGTGAGAATTATTTTATTATGTTTTATTTTTATTATTGTATTACTTCCCTTCTACGTGGCTTTACCGAAAGAACCAAGAAGATGAATCCCTGCAGTCACGAAAGCTTTAAATCGAAATTTTATTTTTCTCATGATATACGATGCTTCGTAGCACAAATGGAATATAATTACAAAATAAATTTAATTGTGACAGTGGTGGGAGATTGAGAAATACTGATACAATATCACGATGCAACATTTTCCTTTTATATATCTTTCTTCAAGAAGAGCATCCTACAGCACTTTACAATAAAATAAATAATAAATAAATCAATTGGTCGATCAATCCAATTAAAATAAAAAGCTAACTCAAACCAATATTGTTTTAAAATTTGATTTCCACATATTTGGTTGTACTCTTTGGATCTTTCGGTAAAGTCACGTAGGTATAAAATAATACGTGGTTGTGCCAGAATTTCTGATATGACTTGAAATAAGCGTTCCAGAGGCAGGGAGCATCGGAACAAAATGCCCTTGCCCCCTCCAAATTTTAGATGACAACTTCCCGGAACTACCAAATAATTCAGCGTTCATTGATCTCGATGCAGGCGACCTGCAGAGTACGGTGTCAGGACTTCCTGGAAATATGAAGGCCGAGACCACGAAGAGCCTTGTAAGTAGTTAGCAGAATTTTTAATCTATGAGATCTCTTTTACCAGTGGCAAAATATAGTAGTAGGTTTTTACCCTTTTAAACTGGTACAAAACTGACACCTTTATTCAAGGCATCATGTTTGCAATAACCACAACACAAGTAGTCAAAAAAGCAAACAAAAAGAAGCAACTCTGATAATGATAATAATATGCACTGTCCTTGAAGTTGATTTGTCCACACCCGAGACGGCTTTCTTTAGAGCCTAGTCCCCATTGGTATTGGACCAGATGACACCAGAAGGCGTACAACTCAAACACAGTGCAATATCAGAGTATAGAGAGCTCGGGGTAAGCATTTACACTATGAGATCTCTTTTACCAGTGGCAAAATATAGTAGTAGGGTTTTACCCTTTTAAACTGGTAAAGGTGTCAGTTTTGTACCAGTTTAAAAGGGTAAAAACCTACTACTAGAATTTTTAATGTCGGTCCTGAAATTGAGAGCAAGCCAGTGCAGTGATTTCAGAGGTGGTGTGATGTTGTGAATGCAGTATGCGATGAGCACTGCGTCTGTAGCATTTTGAAGCAGTTGGAGCCACTGTGTTCGTAATCGGAAAGGTCAGCAAAGCATTCGAGTAATCAAGCTGAGAAATTACAAAAACCAACACCCCAGCATCGTTATCGGAGGGAATGGATCTCACTTTGGCAATTCTTCTCAAGTGATAAAATTAGGCCTTTATAACGGAGAATGTGGGTGGCAAAACACAGTTTTAAATCCATAGTAATTCCCAAGCTTTTCAAAGTATTGGATGGAATCAAAAGATTGCCATCAACAGAGCTTTCGATACGGGGTGATTGGGTTCAACTGTGTCTGCGGCCCACTGATAGCACTTTCATTTTTTACTTAAGAGACAATTTGAAGCCATCCATAGATGCATTTCACTCAGCCCCAAGAGAGCATCGAAGCCGCCATCTCCGATTTATCATGAAGAGAACATCACAACTTAACGGCAGGTTCCGTGAGCAGAGAGGCAGCAGTTGGCATGGCAATGCTGACCGCATAACACCATAGTCCATTTGCTGGCTGAGCGACTTAAGCCAATACGTCTCGACTTGGTACAGGGGACCTTTTTAATGGGTGACCAGAGGAAACATCACTTAGGAACCGCTTTAATATGATGGACTGCTTGTGTAGAGGTGTAATTGCGCATGGCTACGAATGTTGAGGTGTGATTATGCATGGCCACGGATGGCCAACAAACACAAGGGGCGGGGTTACGGCCGTACACAAGGGTGGCGCTAGCACCGACGTCCGCATGTGTATCCCCCACGGGCCCCCCCTCGGGGGCGAGTCCTATAAAAGGTGATGAGCTCGAGGGCTCGAGGTCGGGACTCAGCTTTAACCAGAGAAGACGGAAGACCTGCTAGTGTAGGCCCCAGAGCTCCCCTGGCTCGCTGTCCTTATAAGGGCCGACCAGGGCAAGCCGGTGGCGTGGCCCCGAGAGCCCAGACGAAGCTGGTCTGGTGACTCAGGGAGCCGGGATCCCAGCTTAACCAAGCTGGGACAGATAGCCTCCCTAGTCCCGTAGTGGAGGAATTGGTATAGGTTAGAGGGGTTAGCTGTCGAGAATCCCTGTAGCCAAGTGACCTGTACAACTGTGTTGGTGTAATAAATAAGTGTGCCTCCGATCCTGTCGTCAAGCCTCCATATATACTTACTACATCTGGGGTCAGAAGTAAACGTCCAACGATGGACACACGAGGGACGACACGTACCAGGGAGTCGGAGATGGAAGACGCCGCGGCCGATTCTCCACCAGTGATGGCCGGGGTCGAATCGGAGCAGCCGGGGCCGAGTACGCCCGCGCCGCTACGACAGGAGGAGGGGGATGCGTCGGCCGAGAGACTCCGGCTGGCCCACTCCCGCCTGGCGGACCTGCTCTACGCCGCGGCCGCCGCGTTGGAGGAGATCACGCGGCTGGGGGCTGGAGGAGCAGCGCGGGTCGACGACGGCAGCCGGCGCGGGGCGACGTTTCCCGCCACCCCGACGCGGCTCGCGGTCAAATTTCCCGCCATCTCTACAGTACGAGCGGAGGGCGGGGCCGGCCCGCGTCACGTGTCTGCTGAGCGCCAAGCACAAGCCGTGACATCATCAACGCCGGCCGGCGCGTCAACATCAGAGCGACCGGCGATGCCATGTGCACGGCCCGCCCACACTGTATCATCGGCGGGGAGCGACGGAGAGCGTTCTGCGGCCACGGACGCCGCCTTACAACAGCGTCTGCCGCCTCTTAAAGAATTTGTCGGCGCTGACGGAGACTGGGGCGGCTTCAAGAGGCGGTTCATCGCTCATCAAGAGATGGCGAACTGGTCGGACGCCGAGGCTCTACGCGCGCTGCCAGCGATGCTGGACAACGACGCCCTGGCTACCCTCACCTCGGCGCCGAGGGAAAAGCGCGCCACTCTACACCTGGCGTTGCAGCTGCTGTCAGCCGTCTATGGGCCGCCTTCGGACTGCAGGCAGCTGTTCCACGATCGGAGTCGGGGCGCCAACGAGTCACCCCTGGCCTTCCGGACGGCTCTCCTGGCTCTGGCAAAGGCTGCTTTCCCAAGGATGGACGAGGAAGGAGTGGATGCCATGGTGGCAGAGAAGCTGCTGCTACTCGCTGACGAGCTGGACGTCAACGTCCTGGCTCAGGACGACGCGGAGATGTCGTCCCTGCTGGTCGCGCGCCACATCCACGGGGGCTTGCGGTCCCTGCGTCGGAAGGCGGCAAAGGGGGCGGCCGGCCATGCCATGGCGACCACCGCCCTCCCATCGGAGGAGGTCTGCGGGGTGGAGCGGCGAGGGGAATGGAGATCGGCGGCACCGCAGGCTCGGAATGGACCGAGCCGCCAGGAGCAGCCCAGGTCATCTGGGGCGCTCACACGCTGCTACAACTGTGGCCTGCAAGGCCACGTTGC